GGGGGAATCCACTCCAACTACCACCCTTAGCGACCGCGAGGCCAGGGACTCGTTGACCCGCTCTTTGTTGCAGAAATATTCTACCCCATATACCAACAGGCGAAAACTATACAATAACTGTTTGTGTTTCCCGATGTTAAAGAAACTAGGATACAACCGTGGGCACTAAAGTTTGCCATTTAAAATAACGACAATCTCATTATGTTGGCATTAAAAGTGGCCTGGACTGGACACCAGGCCTTTCCTGCGCTTGCGAAGAAGTGGCCAAGCTGTTAAAAATGTACACGAAAAAGGAAAAAGAATGTGCATGGAGATGAAACGAAAAAATAAAAAATAAAGGAAAGAGGAAGGGCCTGCGACGCGGAGAGCGACGTTTCCGACCTTGTCTGTCAAAAAGGACGAGTGGAGTGAAGTGGACGGGAGCGGCGGACTGGCGGGCGACCAGCTGATCGTGTTATATAAGCGACAGCACCCCGGTCACCGATGGGCTCCGGTGGACTCCAGCGGGCTGGTGGTTCTCCAGCAGCACGCGAAGAGCCCCTCACCAAGAAAAAAAACTTCCATCGGCCCTTCTTTCGAAAATGCTTCCATCGTTCTTAATCAGCGCCCCTTCACAGCAGGCAGCCCTCCGGTTCTCCCGGCGCGCGGTGGCCTGATAGGTCTCCAGCAGCGCTCGCCGGCCAGCGCTCCGCGGGCACACCCAGCAGCGCAAACGGCGGGCTCCGATGCAAAACGATAACGCTAAATAATGAGACACGATCTGTAAAGGGGTCCGATTGCAATCTACCGCGGGCAGCAATTTCTTTTTTCGCCTTGCCTCGCGCGCTGTGGGTTGCAGCTGCAGGCGAAGATAACGCAAAGGACACACACACGCATTCGTTATACCCCGCGGTGTAGATCCAAACCCGCGACCTGGATCCGCCGACCGGATAGGGAACAGGGTCCCCTGTTTTCAGGGCTGAGCCCCTGGAAGGCCAGCAGTCCCGTCGAACTCGGGTGTCCGGCAGTACGGCCTACCCCCGCAGGGGCTCTGCCGTGCCCACTCCCTGTTGCTGCAGCGAAGGTAAGAGGAAGGACACCCCCACCCCTCCCTTCAGACACCCTTTCAGACGGATTCAAACCGTGACCTGAATCTGCTAACAAGAATAAAGTACAAGGGTGGCCGACCTCTCCGGGCTAACTAAGCCCCTGGGAGGTATGCCGTCCCGTCGAACTTGGGTGTCAGGCGGCGCGGCCTACCCCCGCAGGCGCTCTGCAGAGCACTGCAATCTACATGCAAGTGTCACAGACAATGAAAACAGACACCTATACTCACACTTCTCGTTTCTTTTGCTGATTCGGGCTTGTGACCTACGGATATTCGCGATCCGAGTAGTGAATAAGATCAAAGCTTTCTGAGCAGCGCCCCTGGCAGGTAGGCGGTCCCGTCGAGGTCCTGCGCCAGGCGGCACGGCCTACCCCGGCGGGGGCTGTGCCTAGCCTACTCTCGGCGAAGCGGAAGCAGGTGTTGGAGGGGAGGACGGGAAAAGAGGAAAGGGAGGAGGGGGGGAGGTACTTGTCGTCTGCACGGATGGTTGACGACATGTGTCATCTGAGCACGACAGGTCAAGGGCGCGCGCAGTGCGGCGGGACTACAACAACAGGAACGGTCTTACCTAAGGACATAAACACACACACACACACACACACACACACACACACACACACACACACACACAAGGCGGCCAAACACGCCGCTGCCCGCTGCCGGGCAATAACTCCAGCGGGCGCCGCGCCGGGCGATGCCTATCGGCTCGAATCGATGTGTATATCGATGTATCGCCCGATAAATACACACACACACACACGTCGAATGGCTTCATCATCGACGCAGCGAAAGAGGGGAGATACCATTGTAAGGGTGTATGGGAACAGAATGGGGCGTGGTCGGCGCGAGTGGAGAATTAGCAGCAAAGTGCGGGAACGGAGGGAGAAAGGGAGGGGAGGGGTGGGAGGGAGGGCAAAGGAACGGGATGTGATGACATTTCTACGGCCAAGAAAGAGGGGTTTTGGCCGATCCCCATGTATTCCGCTCTGCCTCGTCGCCAAGGCTGCGCGCAGTGCGTCGAGCAGCATGCCACCGGTGATGTTGAAAACTCAGCTTAAGAATGATTTTTTGACGACATAGAATATCGTATTTTTTAACTTAGACGCAAATAAGTGAAATCAAGTGTCACCGATACAGAATTTTTCGTCATGACATTTTAGCATATCTTTTGAATGTTTGAAATGTCATACACTTCCAGCCAGAGCAGCTTTGCACACACGAGAGTATAGTGGCAGCGCAGTCGGCGCGCCGCTCTCACGATACGTCACGATAGAATCGAAGCGAGCGCCTCTACCGATACCTCGCCACGCCACGCCACGCCCGGGGCGGAGCGGCGCCACCCTGCAGGCTATTTGCACGCCGTATCGCCTATTCGCACGCACGCCGCACGCACCCGCGGCCTCCGCTCTGCGAATAAGGGCTCGCCCAAGGCCGCCGCTGGTCGTGTGGACGACAAGCGGAGCACTGCGCACAAACGTGCCGGACACACTGTTATCTTTCTCCCCTAGCACACACTACTCAAGACACGGGAATCCTTATTGTTTCATTCTGAAATAATAAATAAATAATAATCATTACATACAAATGAACGCGAGAGTGGGAAGTGAGCAGGCGACAACAGTCAATACAAGGGGGCGCGTGCTGCAGTCGGACAGCCACATACAAGCGCGCGGATATTTAGTGCCTTATGCAAATGAGTCGGGTAATTGGCCGAGCGGAGAGCCGACCGCCAGCGTCGTGTGTGATAAGCGCGACTGTGGTTACCAACCCCCCCGGGGCGGTCGCGGGGCGTGTGCCACCAGCGCAGAGTAAAGTGCACTGATAGCTGTGGAGTGAGCATGTCTCAATAATGATGACGGTTAAACCGAAGTGAAATAACATCGCTGGGAAAAAACGAAGAGGTACTTAACTTAGTACTCTCTTAGGGTTGCTGATGATTTTACCGCGCTTATCGAGAGGCAAATACAAAATTAGCTCTAAAGATGATAAATTTTTAGTGTCGAAAATGGTCACTTGTTTTCATTTGTAAGGAGTATCAAAATTTAGCACCATAAAACCAAAACCTAGGTCATACCTTTTTTGTGAGACAAATGTCAATTTTTTAAATGTTGAAATAAAGTCAAAAGGGCCACAAATTTCCTATAATTCGTAATTTGACGGTATGGTTACCGATTTTTAGAAAACTTTTGGTCGCCTCATCGCCCCTGATACAAAAATGTTTGACAAGTGGCATGTTTCAC